AGGTTATGAGACACATGGCCAACATTGTTATACAAGGTGAACAAGATATCTATGTAAAGTAGTGAGTAATTATTCGCATATAACATTAACAATTGACAACAATAATAATTTATATATATAATAACATTTTTTTTTAAATAACCTCACTAATAATTTATATAATTACAAGTTCAACTGTTTTTGTTCTTACTAGCTATTTTTGACATTAAAAACATATGTTATCACAGAGTTTAATTAATGACTAGAATTACAGCTTTTTAAAATTATATGTACAAAGGATTAGAAATTAAGATGAGAACACGACATATAATTTTAAAAAGCTATAATTCTAGTCATTAAGGTAATACTCTGTGATAACATATGTTTTTAATGTCAAAAATAGCTAGTAAGAACAAAAACAGTTGGACTTGTAATTATATGAATTATTAGTGAGGTTAAAAAAAAAATGTTATTATATATATAAATTATTATTGTTGTCAATTGTTAATGTTATATGCGAATAATTACTCACTACTTTACATAGATGTCTTGTTCACCATGTATAACTGAATGTTGACCATGTGCTTCATAACCTAAAACAAAGCACTTTTACGTTGTTTTTTTTTCCGATGAGAATTTTTGCTCTTCTCTCTTGGGAAAGTATGCATTATTGTTTTAATTGTGATTGTTGAATTTATATTAATTATGGAAAATTTTTCTTAATAAATCCCTGATGATGGCAACATAATTTTACCGAAAGCTTGGTGATCCCAACACTTTTGTCTTTCTTTCACCTAGTAAAGACCTTAAAGAAGATTTGAACTCTACATTATTTGTCTTTATTTCATTTCAAATTGATTATGTATGAACTAAAAATATTACTAAAAAAAACATATACTGGAAATATGCATTCAACGACCCAAGCATAAGGCAAACTAAAAAACCGCGTACAACAACAACCCAACAGGAGAAAGAGTATATCCTACTAAACAGGAAGGAAATAAAAAGTCTTAACTGGTATATTTACAAGAGATGCTTTAGTAAAATACTATTTTAAAAAATGATACAATAGCTCAGGGCTTCCCTTTTTTGGCCAGCTAGCTTTCATAGAACAAAATGGAGAACAGACCCCTTCGCATTCAAGGCTTTAAAATTAGCTACTTATAATATATGTAGTAAATTTAAGTAAATTAGGTAATGAGGTGATGAGAGATTTAGGCGAAGGAGAGAGATATGCCTAAGAAAACAAACATTAAATTGACATATTTAACTTTATTTACAAAATCCGGAACACAAAAATCAAACTGGACAGAACGGAATCAATAGGTATGTATTTATTACGCAGGGTGGGCGACCAAGACCCGAGGGGTTAAATGACTGGGTAGACACGTACCCCATCCCTAAAAGGTCCGGGACTTGGTCGTTGGTCGGCTCACGAGTCCTGCATAAATCTCTTGGACTTGTACACAAATCCCAAGATTTTGGACCATTTTATCTCGGGGAGTGATTTGGTGATGTCCGCTCCTTCAAAGATTTCAAATCTAGACCTAGCATACCTATCACACTTTGCGAGGTAGTGCCTTGCCGTTTCTTCTTTTATTTCGCAAAAACGGCAAAAGGGATCTGGTAGAATAGCCATTACGGAGAGGTGTCTTCTCAGTGAGCAGTGGCCCGTCAGAACACCTATCAACCTCCTAATTTACTTCCTGGAGTTAGAGAATAACCATTTCGATTCTGCTGGTTTGATCACCTTAGCAAACTCTTTAGATTGCCTGTGTCCGGGGGATAGATTCCACTCCTTCAATAGGTATGTAAAACTCGAGTCAAATTCAAAAGTAATAACTTGAACATTAATGATTAATGAAGTCCTGAACAATTTGGATTTGTTGGGTTTAATTTGTGATAACTGTACACGAATGATGGAATCAGCATCCAGACAGTTTCGGTATTTAGTTTTGGTGGCTGTACAGAAAATCCAGATTTGCGAAGGTAAGTTTTGGCAAATGGAAGAACACGTTTTGCTTTTTCAACGGGCAGTTGACATTTTTTGTTTGTTGACCAGTAGATCTCAAAAATAGATTTCAAGGTGGTGCCCTGAAGTAATGTCTATCAAACATTCGTATTCAGTTGAAGATAGGCTGCTTTGTCAAAATTGTATACGGTTTGACCACTCGTTCATGGTCTTGTAGCATTGTATCTCGAGCTGTTTTCAAGTAGTGCTCAAAGGACATCTCCCAACTCCGAAGGTGTTCACATATTTCATCAATCAACGTGCCGTTCGCAAGCTCGAGTTTGTTTCCTTTTAAAAAATCATTTAAATCAGGAAAACTTACGACTTCTCAACAGATTCAACCCAAAACTAGATTTTTCTTTTGAAGTCGACAACTATCCTGGATCTGGGCAACAGAGTGCTTATAGAGAGGGGAAACGATCCAAAGTGGTCCCCTCAACCAAAGTGCAGAGTTCAAGTTAAGGGCCTCGCAGTAGCCATCTTAAGTTTGAAAGTCTAAGGGAATTAAGAAGGTTCTCTCTCTGTTGATTAAATAAGGTGTTGGGGTGAGACAAGTTTGAATAAGGAAAAGTTAAGCGAGTACTGAGCTCGGAGTAAGCAATCGTCCCGATGACGTTCCTTGAATCTAGATAGCAGATCTAAAAAACAAGATGGCCAATCAGCAAGGTTTTCTAGGTGGGACAGATTACTTCAAATCTTTGAAAGAGCGTAAGCCATTGGGTATACCAGGCGATCTTATTCCTGATGACTTCGATCGCAGTTATTTTTGCCAATTTTATGTAAGGGGAATTCAAAATTTTGAAAATAAATGAAAAGTGAAAGTTTTAAGGTATATACGTAAATCAGGTCAGTGGACGTTTCTAAATAAATCATGTAGTTTGGTCATTTGATATTTTGTTCCATGAGCAGAGAAGATTTCAGAAGGCAATTCCTGCAAAAGTGCTTTCCCACGAGACAGCCACCTGTATGGAGAAGCAGGGAATGTTGAAGACTTCCACGGTGTCACATAGTATTGTAAAATGTCTCGATTTCAATGGCCGCGGCTTGATATAGTTAATAATTTGAACAGACTCGTCCAAAATTTTCTTAAAAGAGGCAGGCATATGTTTTATAGCTAAAGAATGTCCGTGAAATCGCAATGACTGCTGTCGCATAATAAAAAGACTTTCGTTTTCAGTACTCATTATTATTAGTTTTTTAATTTTATTTCTTCATTCTATGTTTATTTTTATAGTTGTTGATTTTTCTTGAAGTTTGGAGCGGACCACAGTTTGGGAAGCCCTGTATTAACAGATGCTAACGGGTGGTATTCCAACAGGCTCTATTTTTGGAGCTAAGAAATTGCGTCCTTCAATTTGGTGGGTCCGATTATCCACATGGCACATGCCGGACACATGATGATGAAACTAGGAAGCGGGGTTTCTCTCACCAGGCACTGCCTTCTGACTTATTGTACCTTCCTAGATCCTTAGATCAGTGCAATAGACTCAATCCTTCTCAGACTGTATTAGGTCATTGACTGTTGATACTACAGTTTCATTCCCTAGGTTTTTCCTATGCTTATGTTGTTGTTGAGGTTATGTCTCCATTGTGCTGTTGCTTTGCATTCGAAGAGCAGAGAGTTTGCCAGTTTGGTTTTGTATTCTGTTATTCCAAGTATAGTTTCAGGGCCTATGTATGGTCTTGCAGATATTCCTCCAGTTTTTCTGCTTTTTGTTACCCAAAATTCCTTTTGTACCCTGGCACCCAAGATATCATTAGGTTGTTGTGTTTCCCCAGGTTTTGGAGATTTTGGATGTGTGGTGGCCACCTGCACTTACCACAAAACCAGCTAGATGCCACTACCAGTTCTGGAATGGTCTTTCTTTCCACTCTGCATTGAATCAGAGCAGAGCCAGTGCGTATATAAGCAGGGGCACTGCCCCACTGCTTCGGATTCTTTTATCCAACAAGATCTCACTTCACACCTTGAGACTCAACTCCCCTATGAGTTATCGCTAATCACTAATGAAGCACCTACAATGATGGCAAGGGTACAAGCAGCATTTGTCTCAAACTTGCCATCTCAACATAGCCGACTTGGCTACTGGCCAACCGCTGCACTCAGCTACCTGCTGCAACAGTCCCTTCTATCACTGTAGTCAACCGTGAACCAACTTACGGCCCTGGACCTCAGCTCGGTCATGGACCACAACCAAAGGCACACACACACACACCCCAGCCCCATTAATCATTTCAATGCTACACTTCAAAACACCAGCCCTTATCAGGGCTACCAAAAAAACTCCCAGTCACTAAAGATGCAGTGAATGAATAATTTTGATGATTTTTTTTACACGCTAATGCTTTAATAGCTGCTTGGCTATCATTTCTTTTGAGGTTTTTTTTGCCAGTACTCTTTTAAGATATTTCTGGGCACAATCATTGATGGCATTACTGGACACATTCATGGGGTAAGGCCCAAAAGTATCTGTATGTCAATGAGGTGATGACCTTGTTCTATGAGTCAGTGCACTTGATGGATGAGAGCTTCTCTGCCAATTTGGCTCATATGTTCCTATCACAGTCTTCCCCAATATTTTTGGTAGGTTAGGGCATAACCTAACCTAACCCTTCACAGCAACTTTGTCAGACATGATTAAGCTGCATCATGAACGATATGATGATAACCATTTTTTTCTCTAGGATAAGCCTGTACAATGATAATTGAAAAGATTCTTTAAGGTGTATAACACGCTCTTGACAAATTTTTATTCATGCTAACCTCATGCTTGAGCTGCGCTAATACATGATCGTCCTCCTTTTAGCATTAAAAATCTTTTCCTTCGAAGAGATGGTTGACTACAGACCTCCATACATACTGAAGGGCTATCTTTGCAGCACTATAAACAGTTGTTTGTATGTTTTTTCTGCTGTTTATCTAAAACAAAATTTTAATCAAGTTGGTACACCCCCACCCCAAAAAAAAGGGGGAAAAACAAACAGTAATTTCATTTTATTAATTAAAATGTTAACATCAAAATTTTTTAATGAGAGATCGTGGAGAGAAAATTCATTAACAAATGTAATTATTAAATAATAAAACATTAATTTGTACAATAACACAGCCACAAAATTGATCGAATCGATTATGAGATAAAATACTTAAAACGGGGCCAAGGGCTGGACGATACTGGTAATAATTTGAAACCTAAAAAATAAATTATAAATTAGTAAAAAAAAAAATAACATTATATTAAATATTACCTTTATGCGGGGTAAGCGTCATGGGAACCGCTTGCAACTTTTTCCAGAAGGTTCATTAAAACTTGAAATCTTCCTTGAATCTAAATATTTTCGTTATATAGTGTCAAATTTAATATTTATCAATGTAAAATTTCCGGGCTTACATCGTTTACACTCCTGGATGGCATTAAGTTGCTTATTTTTGAGAATGTCTGCTCGGTCCCTAGTTCTTTTTGGAAAGTCTGAAGTATCATTTTGTCTTCTTCTCTCGTCCAAACCCTCTTCTCCTTAACCTCTTCTTCCTTCGGTTTAACTTCGATCGTGATTTCTTTGGTTTCATCTTTCCCTTCATCTTGGATGTTATTTATTTGAACTATTGTTTCTATATCTGAACTTGTATGTTCAGTTTCAGTCTTTACCTGAAAAAGAAAGTTACAAATTATAAAAAGAATTTTAGTTATTAAATCAGATTAAATTACTTGAGTTATCTCTTGTTTTGGACTTGGTTCATTATTATCTAAAATTTTCAGGATTTCAGACTTCCCTTTTTGACTTTCCTGAAAATGAGATTAGTTAACATGTAGAATAAAAAATTAACAATATCCAAACCACCTCGTCTACAAGACTGTAAATTGGGCTGACAGGCTGCAGTTGACCGAGGAACCTTGTGCTATCACAGGTGTCGGGATCTTCAAACGAACCGTCAAAAGGATCCCCTATGGAAGACTTGTCTCCACTAGAGACATCATCTTCTTCCCAGTAATCATCTTCTTCCTCCGTTTTGTCACATCTATCCGGGGAGGATGCGGGTTGGAGGTCTTCTTTAGTTTGAACTGCATTTTCATCCTCACAAAGAACTTCTAAATAAAACAAGTATTACGTTTGTGTTTTAAATTTGATGTGTTGTTACCACAGTGTACCATGGCTCAGTGAAGGGGGGAGATACGAATTGGGAAAAAAGCTGGGAACCACTGTAATTTTTTGGAAAGGGTAAATACCGAAACTAGGAAAAAGAATAAAGGTAAAGAGATGAGAATGAAATTAAAAATGAAAAGGGTTAAAAAAACCTTTATTTGGTGCGCTGACAGATTTTGATGTTCTTCTCTTTTCCCTCCTCTTGCTGTATAATGCTGGATGAAGTTTTTGGAGCATCTCCTCGAGTGGAGTTTCACCGAAGCTGATTCTTGCAAACCTTAGTACTTTGCCATCACGAATGTATATTTGGCCATTGAGAAACTGAAGAAACGTAAAGTTTAAAAATAAGAAATAAAAATGTTCAAAATCTTACTTTGAGATTGCAGGACAGGCAGAATAATTTGGGATCAGATGTATGGCATTTGCAGTTGCAATTCTGCTGGCAGCCCCGGTCAGGGTGTTCAGGTATCCTGATCCTTTCCCAGCCGCTCTCTTCCACGGAAACCTCGCTTATGTCTTCAAAATCTTCTTTTGAACTGAAAAATCATTTTTTCATACATATTTTGCGCAGTGAAAGATCACTATGCAAATTCTGACCTAGGAGGAGGCTTTTCATCTGGTAAAAGGTGAAGAAACGCTTCAGAAAGATGTGGACTGCCTTTAAAAATGGGCAAAATACTTGCTTTGATTGTCTCTGATGAGTTCACATTGTTTGAAACCTGTTGTTCCAGTGCATTGTGAAATCGGTTGCCATGGTGTGCCTTAAAAGTTTAAACATTATATTTTGTGTATTATCCTAAAGAGTAAAGTTATTGAACACAAACATCTAATTTTTTGAAAAAAGACCAGCATTTTTCAAAATACTGCAGGTCCATAAGCTTTCCGCACTCTTTCGCCTGGTGCGGACGGAGGAATCCGATGAAATCGTCAAGGAGTTGAGGGTAGTTTACTAATATTTCTGTCATTTTATTGTACAAGGCCACTGCAGCCCCCGGTTCATCCTTTAAAACTCAAATTGAATATTTTTCTTTTCCCAATTGACAAAGGATAGTGCAATGCGATGTGTTAAATTAAAATTAGACTTACGACGGCTTCGCTTAAAACCGTGATGAACTGTTGAAAAGTCCCCTCATCGAGAGTAGATTTTGCCTTCATAAAATAGGCCTCGGCATAATCTATAATCGTTTAAATAGTTGTATGTTATATTTCAATAAAACAATCATCTCTTACGATTGCCATCATGAGAAGGTCCCTTCTCATCAGACGATTCGTTACTGCATTCCAGCCTTTTTTTCTTTTTGACCTGATTCTGCACCATTTTTCGCTTCTCGCTACATGGAGAGTTTTCAGCCAACAGAACAAGTTCGTCTTCACATTCCTTTACAATAAAAAAAAAAAAATTTATAGGCCAATTTTTTACAAATAAATAAAATACCTTTTCACCCCCAGGGAGGGTTTCATAAGTCATATCAGATGCTAACTCTCTAATGCGTGTTGGAGAATTGTTTTTCTTTACCGTCAACTTTTGCACCGCCTCTTGGATTTGCCTAAATAATTGATAAATTTAATTTACAAATAGGCAAGTAGTAATTAATACATACGTACATCGGAGGCTTAATTTCTGCTTCGTTCTCTGGGGGTGTGTTGGCAGCTGTGGTGTTGGAATCCTGAAAATGTATAGTAAGTAACAGAGATAAACTTAAAATTCTTTCCTTAACATTAATTTTGTCCCAAATAACATTAAATAAATAAAATGCAAAGCTGAGGAAAGAAGAAAAATACCAGATCTTTAGAGGTTTAATTAAGAATATCTACAGTTGAGAACAACATATATAAAAGCTTGAACAAATTAGGCCATAGTTCAGTCATCTCTGATCAATGTATATGTGATATAAATGACATATCCAATTACAGAGGAATCTCAGGCATAGACAGTATCGCCAAAATTTTTTCTGGGCTCTTACTTCGTTGGTTGGAACTGTTAATCACCTCTAATGATCTTCTTGGAGAATTCAAGCTGATTTTCGACAAGGGTACTCAACAATAGATAACATTTTTGTTTTATTTAATATCATAAAATTAAGATTGATGAAAAGAAAACAAAAACTCTATTTCTTCTGTGTTGATTTTAAGGCAGATTTTTAAACTTTTTAACCTTGGCATATCTTCTAAATTAATCCAAATAATTAAGTCCGTTTATGACCAAAGCATCTTATCAGTGTGAGGGAAAACAGGCTTTTCAGACTGGTTTCACATGGAATCAGGAGTAAGGCAGGGCTGTATACTTAGCCCCCTTCTCTTCTCTATATTTATTGATGATTTACCTACCTATTTGGATGCAGGGATCAAGATTAGCTTGTAAAAAGCCCTCATGTACACAGAAGATGTGGTCTTTCTTGAGGATAACGTTTCCTCTCTACAAAAAAATATTAATAGCCTGGCGAAATACTGCGACCTATGGAACCTAACGGTTAATTTACAAAAATTGAAGATAATTGTTTTTAGAAGAGGAGGCAGACTAGGCTCGAAAGAAAATTTCAAAGAGACTCCTATCAAAGTAGTAAATCATTACAATTTCCTTGGTACACTAACTTTTTGTTTGTCACTCAATACACATTTTGTGGAGAAAGTCTCGGCAGCAAAGTTTGCGCTTAACACTACGTGGCCTGAGTTCATAATGCATGATTTGGTTCCTTTATCTGCCAAATTTAAAGTGTTTAATGCACTTTGCCATTCCATTCTCATGTACGGATATCAAGTTTGGGGTTTTCAACCTTAAAATCAGTTGGAAAATTGTTGAGGCACTTCATCTAGCAGTTGTTTGCCTTGCTTTCTTGTACTCCAAATTACGTAAACCCGTGTTGATCCCTTATTTCTGCACACGTTAAAGCTCCATTTTAAACATGTATACAAAACCCTAAAACTCCCTGGTCACCGCTATACAAAAAATACAGCTCAGGAGATAATAAATAAAAATATTTTTTCTGCTTCCCGTTCGGTGTGGAGTGCCTCGTGGGTGTCCGCTGTTGGTTCTCCTTTCCAACTGTTCAATCATAATCAGTATTCAATCATTCAAGCAACTGGCAAAATATCATCGCAGAAAAAAAAAAAAAGTTTGCTCATAATAACACAAAACAAGTCCTCTGGCCTTCCAGAAGGCTTTGATTTTCCTAGGAATTAAGTAAATAAGTGATCAAATTTTTTCTTGTGAAACAAAATTACATTCTTTAACAAGAGTGGTTTCAAACTGTTCAATGGTTGTTTTTTGATAGCGGAAAATGTCTAGTCCATCTCTTTATCATGTCCCTTAAGGGTTCTATTGGACTCGTGTCAGGAGAACGTCCTGGTCTATTCATTGCAATAAACCCTAATGAGTGACAACTTGAGCTACTTGCAGTCAACACAAAACTGTCCCCAATAAATGGAGCGAATTGGACCACATCTTCCGAAAAAACTTCCTTAATGTACCTTAATGAAGTCTGTACATTCATGGATTGATTCTACCCCATGTCATAACTACTGTCTTTGAAAAGGTTGTGACACGGATGGCACTCCAAGCAGCGTTCTCCACGACCTCACACGGTCTTGGTCATCTGATTGCCACAAACCAAACCGGCATCCATCAGCAAAGAGAACAGCCCCCCTCCCTATTGCTCGTGACCAAGCGAGATCCTGATTTGCGAATAGTCGTTTTTCTACCCGATGCCTCTCCAGCAATATAGAATCTGATGTAGGATGTATAGAGACTTGGCTATTCTCACGAAGCCTCTTGTGATGACTGTTTTAGAGTACAACCATACATTACAGACCATTGAACTATCAAGGAAGCCATTAAATGACGGTTCTGTAGTACGGTAAGAGCAATAAAACTATCATTTCTAGTGGTTGTACTTTGTGACCACTACTTCTCTTCAATCAAGACATCCAGTAGCACTAAACCGCTGTAAACCATCATTGATAGATCACGGCATACTTGTGCTATGTAACAAACACTACGTCCTCCTTAGGTCAAATAATTTATAAAACCAATAAACTCACTTGACAAGTTGGCTTGTGTAAGAATGAAATTGAACTGATTTTCTTTACTTTTAAGCAACAAGTTTTTAATGTTGTGCTTATGTTTTAAAATTAATCTTGATACCTAATTATTATGGACAATAAACAAATAAACACATTTTCGCCTTTAAATGTACAATTATTAATGTTCCAAATAAAATAAAGATGTATAATTACAATTAATAAAGGGTTAAAATTAAACATTTTTTCATGGCTTAATTGAAAAATACAAATTAGTTATAAAGTAGAAAAAACGTTTTGTGGACAAAAAATAATCACCTTTTTTATTTCCTCCTGTTGGGAGTTAGAAAATAGAAGAGGCATGCTAGGCAACATCGTAAATTTGTCTGTAATTATTTATTTAATAAAACTTTCAATCATTATCAATACAATTGTCAAAGGTAGAAAACCGGTAAGGTTATTTACTATGATAACCGCGGGGAGGTTACAGGACGCTAAAAGGACTCTCACTGGTAGACAATATCAATTAAGCACAGAAGGCGTGATCTACCTAGGAACTAATTTAGAGGGGACCAAATATGACTTTTCTTTTAAAATATCAGATAAAAGTAATTTTATATAATTATCTCTTAAATATTGACTTATATTTTAAAAATTTATATTTTTCTTTAATCCTCAGGAAGAACCAGTGGGAGTGTCAAATACCATATTGTCCGACTTCAATGGATATATGAGTATTTACCCAGTATAGGATAAAATTAAATGAAGGTGAAACGTAATTTTATCATAATCTTCAAACCATTCTTGAAGAATGTGATTTTATAAATTTAAACAGAGGGCTTCTGATCACAACCAGACATCGACCGATTTCCTCTTGAGGTCAAAACAGTGCGGACCTGTAGTATGGTCGTCTCTGTTCATATTGGTCTGTCAGATGCATTTTGGCATGTCATGTTTGGTTGTGGTTTTGGGCAAAATCAAGCAAGAATAGTTAGATCAGGATGACTTTAGATTGTGGTACATGTTCATGAACGCAGATGTTCCAATAATGGTTAATTACAATTAGGTGATGAAAGGAGACTAGGTAGTATATGTTCCTCAAGCACTGCAGCCTTTTGGCTTATTATTCCTTCCTTTTCAGTCTGTCAACTCAATCCTTCTTTTAAGGACTCATAGGTTTTAAGGTAAAGGAGATGATAATATTCATAAGGTACAAATGAGACCATTATTGAAAATGCCCATGTTTGTATGACTGGTCTTTTCATTCCTCTGAGTTTAGCCCTCTATAACTGAAGGTCATGGTGAGAATTGTTTTTAGCATAAGTGTACTGTGTCGTGCCCCTAGAATTTAACTAATCCTCCTAACTTTTTTGGATCCTTGTACATACAACCGCAGAAAGGATACGAAGGAAGATGCTGAGGTACTCAGAGATACCAGACTTGATTATATATTATATATATATATATTTTTTTTTTCCGGTGGGATCAAATTACAGCCTATCATTGCTTATTTGGTCTGGGTTCACCTGTTTCATTGTTGGGCCTGGGTGATTTCAGTGTAATCGATTCTTTATAAAACACTCAGAGAAGTATGGTTGGCAAAAAGCTGAAATATTGCCAGAATTAAAAGGAAAAAAAAAGCCAGTAAATATTTTCCCTGTCTTTGTGAGATTCATTTTTGACTACTCCTGTAAGGAAAATATGCCAAATTTGGGATTCAGTTTAAAGAAAACCGACTAAACAGGGAAACGACTAATATAATTATTAGATTACAAATAAATAATATAAAGGTAAAATTAGAAAATTTTCTGTAGGTACATAAAAAATGTGAACTATAAATATAAAACATAAATATGCTCAGTATATATAAACGAGAGAGCAAGGCATGCTCTCTAAGAAAGATTTCAGCTTTAATGCGCATAAATACAAATGGTTAAATTTTCACTAGAATTTAACAGACAATTTAAATGGCCTAGAGATAAGGCCAAGTTGTTTTTTCTTCACATTAATTACATATTTTTCTTCACATTTATTACAAACTAATGTCATTCTTAAAATATTTCTACAAGTAATATTTTAGTTGTTTAGGGTTGGGTCCTTTACACAAAAGCATGCGTCGTATGAGCGTCTGTCTGTGAAACATTTAGCTCGCCCAATGAACCAAAACGATAATAATGCGAAAATAACTATCACAACAAGTTTGCAGCTGCTAAATTTTTCGCCTCGTTGTTTTGGGAATTTTCAATGTAATGAGGTAAAAAGTGTGGTCCCATAGTGCTGGAGACCTTCATATTCAGCCCACCCCCTTCTCCACAATCTTTCACTTCGCACTTTGAAATAAAAAAAATAAAAAAACAGAAAAAAAATATCCTGGTTCACAATTTTATCTGGGTATGAGTATTTTTATGGTTATTGTTTGCTTTCGAGCTCCTCTCATGCCTCTGACTCCCCAGCTGGCTGCATTTCCGACTCAGCTATCGGTACAATCAAATTGTCTTTTGCCATTAAGTTATACTTGGTTATGAACTGCGTAAACCTCCGACAAAGATATGTTTCAGTCTGAAAACGAAAATAGTAAAGTAAAATCAGTTTTCCCAATAATATTAAAATAAAAAACAAATACCTCAAATTCGTCAAATATTGTCCGATGGTGGAAGTAAGCATGAGAGAATATTCTATAAACTCTCCGACACACGGATCCCAATTTTGTTACTGACGCATCTTTTATACTGACCCTTTAATAAAAAAGACAATAAAACACTGACTTTTTATTTTTATTTTTAATAATTGTTACCTGCTAGGGAAATATTTATTGCTATTTAGAAGGCAAGCTGCCCCGTCTAACGTATGCCTAGTGTAATCGATGGCAGGACATTCTTTGGGCGTTTTATGAGCTGCGCATAAAAATATCCATTGTTCTGTTGCTGTCATTTGTGTGCAAGTTTCTGGGTGGCACTCTCCTTGAAGCCTCACTGCTAAGCCATTGAGTTCCATGCAAAATTGCCTAAAGGATTTTTAGAATTAAAAAATGATGTAAAAGTAAAAAAATTCCTGTTAACCCATGGGTGTCGCAGATCACAGAACCAGTTTACAATTTTTTGTTTTGATATTATGATTTATTAAAAACCCATGAGCTATGCAGGAATTTACATTTTTACTTTTCTTCCTTTTTTTTTTTTTTTTTTAAATCATTATGATGTAAGTTCTTGCTATTTAAGCAAAAAATAGATAGGTACATCATTTGTATTTTTGTTGCAAAAATTGTCATGAATATGGCATAAATGGTAGTACCTTAAATGTTCATATTTCCAAACGCCCTCGTCTTGTCCTTCTGGAGGCGTAAGAATCACGTCTATATTCGATGGCTCCTTCCTGATTTGCTGCTGAATATACTGCGGTACAGCCAGCGTGCTGTCCATTTCCTCGAATGGCTCATCTGGCCAGCCATTAAACATCTACAAAGGGAAAAATATATACTAATTCCTACAATTTTATATCAATTCTAAAAAAGAATTGAACATAATACCCTCAGAATTTTATTCTGATTTATGATATTGAAAATTTGTGTTAAAAAAATTAGTTTTAATAAAGTATGTATAAAAATAAAATACAAAAAGACCATTTGGAGGGGAATGACAAGTTTTTTTTATTACGGAGGAGGGAGTTATTTTTATAAAACAATTCAACAAGTCTTAAAACTTTACATTTTAGTCTGGTTTTCCACATTGATAATATAGTCATAGTAATTCAAATAACCAAAAAATGAACAGAATTTATGCATAGCTTTTATTTATTATGAAATACTGATACCGTATCCAACCCGCTCCTCATTGCAGTACTAAAATTGTATAGTTAAAAATAAATATTCAATTAATATAAAAAATTCACTCAAACTCAAAAAACACTGTAGATGATGCATGTTGATCTGTGAGTCGGTAAACGCATGCTGAACCGGCATAGGGTCACTTATTTAGTCTGTTTTCCTTCCGTGTCATCTTCAGTGTGCAAAGACTTAATTTAAAAACTTCTAAGGTGGCTTGATGTAGTACTGGCCATATTTGTGTTGAAAATAACTGGATGGACCCAACAGCATATAGACTTACATGGACAAAAAAATGGACAATTCTTGATTGAAAAATATTGATTAGTTGAGCAGCAAGTTGAATAGTTCAACAAACCCACGGTGAAGTCGGACTCAACAAGGGACAGTATGCTGGTTCGGAATCTATTCAACTGGGTAAAAGAATTCAAAAATTTAAACTGGAATAACTGCATGTATAGAAATAATAAAAAGGAGTGTGTGAATATGTCAATCAACTTTTTTCCAATTCACGATCTGTAAGTAAGAACCATCATTTGGAAGGGAAAAAATGTAACAGCATATGTGTACTAAAATGTAGTCTAAATATTAAATGAGAAAAGACTCTTACAACTGTAAAAAATTAGGAAGTGCAGTAAAAAGGTACAATGCTTGAATATGACAACAAAACTAAAAAGAAATGAAATGAAGGATTTCAAATTCAAGGAAAAGTACATAATGTGTACTACTAAATATAATGAAAAATCCTATCATAATTTTAAAAAATAAGTCTCAAGAAAAAAAGGTTGAATCCTCTAATTCCATTTTTGGCTGTCAGATTTGTCTCTCAGTAAGAAATCCTCAAGCTTTAAGCTTCAAAATGGCTATCACCTTGAAAGGGAATTCAGAGGAAGGAGAAAATAATGAGTGAAAAAATCCGACAGGAGAATCCAATCCAAGATGAAAAGCTTATCAAAATACAAAAATTGAACTTGACCGGTTGTGTGATCAGAATGACTAATGGAAGATGGACCAAAATAATCACCATCCAAACTACGATGAGTAGAAAAATTTGCTGAGAATCAGTAGGACTCGACCTGAAACATTTGGAAAAAGGGGCTCGCTCAGTAAAGGGTCTGATGTCAAATTCATTTTATTAAACATCAGAGTCGATCAAAGATGAGGCATCGAACTTAACCAACTAACTACAGGCCATACTATGACTTTTGAGCCAAAATGCAGGCTTTCATGCCCGCAAATGTAGGGAAGATTGCTCAATGTGTCCAACTTAATTGAAGGAATTCCTTGCCTATAGGCATGAAGGAGGAGTGAGAATTGTTCTTGAGCACAGCAGCGAGCCTTTGGGTTTCATGTTCAGATTTTTGGAGCAAACAGGATTCTTTTATTGTATACAGTACTTGTTAGATATATCAATTTGTGTTTCCTTTTGTCAACTGAGAGTGAATGTTTGGTGTGGAGGGCCAAAGGTGGAATATTGAGTACCCCATCAACTCTCAAATACATTAGTTATGTAGTCTGTATGAAGAATGATGGTATATAAATAGGAATGAGAGTGTGGGTGGGTGTAGGTTTAAAACAATTGCATGCGTCAAGGACTTGAAATGATTAATTAATGGCCTTCAATTACTATGTGTAATTTAAGTTGATGAAATGATTTAGCTGTTGGCAGATAAAACTGAGGTCTGGCTGGGACTGCCAAATCACACTGTAGCTTGCATGTGAATCATCAAATGATTCACATAGCTTGCCATAAGAAGTCATATGTACTGCACATATGTACAGAAGTGAGCTTAATAAATCATTTGATTTATTTTTTACAAGAAGAGAAAGAAAATCTTATATGCAGAAATATAAAACAATAAAAAGCTTATTATTATTATTAACATAGTAATATACCACTGTAAGGGATAATAAAGCTGACTATTTTAAAATTGTGAATAATTAATATTTAGGAAATGCATTAAAAATCAATGTTATTAAAGGTTATATTTTGTTGACTTTGTCTTTTTTAACGACAGGGTTCTTTTTGCGAATCTCTTCTGCCCCGAGTTCCCTGTAGTTGATCGGACATTCGTGCATGTCAGTGTAGCGATGTATGGAACAAAAAACGTCTCCGCAACGACAGACAATCCCTGTCAGGCCGACTTTTTTCTTGCAGACAGCACACCTGTTTGCCTTTTTCAACTTTTGATTATCGGTAGGGACCAGGATCGTGGAGTTGTCTGGGTTGAAGTTGTGAGACGGATTTGATGGGTCATTGAGGATAAATTCAAAAGATTCTGCAGGGAGTGTGATTTCTTTTTCACTCTTCAAATCCTGGTCGCTCGTCGCTGGCAAATTCACATTGTATGCGGAAGGGATTGTACACGAGCTGCAACTTGGAACCATAAATGAGTCTTGTTCGGTATCTCTTTTAACAAGCGGGCAATTACTCTCGACTTCCTTTGTATCTTTAGAAGCTTTCATTTTGGAATCTTCGCTATCGTCACTTTCAAATATGGTGAATGGGATTTCAAGATTTTTTCTTACTTTTGTAACCGATGGGCATTCGACTTTCAACGTCTCCGGGATCAACTTGTATAAAGGATCGTTTACTTCAATCGCTTGAGGTAGTACTTCTACCGCTCCTACAGGCGAAATATCAGAAGATGATATCAAACACACACCAGAATCTATTTGGTCATTTTTTGAAATATTACTACTCGATGAATTTTCCGTCTGTTCGTTCTCATTCGCTCTTGTCACACTAGTATGAGGGTTTACCTCAGAATTAGAACTCTCGTCAATCCGTCTTTCCGATTCACTGCCGAGCTTATCCTTTTTATTTTCGTTCTCTGACATCCTCGCCAACTCTCTGTCCCAGTTATGAAGAGTAACCAGTCATCATTTTCTCTATCATCGGGAGTTTTTTCTCTTCTGTCGCTATTGGCATTAAGCAACATATTATTTGAGATGAGAGTGGGGAATTTTGGCTTTTGATTTTTTTTTTTTTTAACTAAAAATGTTTACATATACCAATCCATGTCTCACATGTTTTTTGTCTAAATGTATGGTTCTTAACACTTTCCTAATTGTGTTATAAAAACCTAAAAAAATCCCATTTTACAATTTGTTTTATTTAGACACTAGCCATGTGCAGTTTATTTTTTTTAAATAAACTGCTCATGGCAGGAGGAATACGGCAGCACTTCTGCCTTTTATGATAAGCTGATTAGAAAATTTTTAATCCTGATTTTCCACCAAATCACGTATAATCTCAGTTCGATTTTAAAGCTCGAGGATAATCTTGTATTTTTTTCTATGTAAAGATTGAACTGTAAATTTAATAAACTATCTAGGATACTGGGGTGTAGGAATGTGAGGGAACGGTTGCCCTATGGACACATTACTAATCTGTCTTATGTTCAAAATTAGTCACCAAAGGTCATAAAACCGGCTAAATTTTTTTTCTTCAAAGACTACTTTAACAAACTCAAACCGGTTTTGAACAAAGGTTTTAGCAATAATATATGAAAACAAACACTAAACTGTTAAAAATCTATTGTGTTAAAAGTCAACTTACGGCCGCTTTTGTCCCAGGACGGTTCCTCCTCAGAACCGTCGAGGGTTGGTTTCCTATTTTCATCATCAAACCAATTTTTCTTATTGAACTTCAACCCCCGGAAATAGGATAATCTTGACAAATCGACACTTTGGAAATTAATTAAAAAACGGGCAGAACACTGAGACCGAGCTGTTGGGTATCTCTCGACTCAGTCCAGGTTGCCATCTTCGCCACCCAATGCAGCCAAAACCGGCGCGATGGATTTCCCGTTTTGCACGTAAAGTAAAATATTTAATTAAATATGTTCAACTACTTTTATTTCCTTCTAAAACATTTTATTATCTGTTTGAAATTAAATTTCGTTGATTTTATATCACTTGAATATCATTCGTTACGATTTAACAATAATGGCGACCCTCCATAAAAAACCCTTCTAACGACAAGCTATTTATTTAATTATTCCTTCTTCCAAAAACATTTTTATTTGTAATTTTTAAAATTATACAGGGTGTCCCAGAGAAAAAATCCCTAAAAAATGGTTTCTCGATTTTCTAGCTAGTGAGCTAAGAGAATAAGTGAATAGGAGTGTAATTAATGGATAACTTCTCTACTCTCAAAACGTTATAATTCAAAATTTATAAAAACAGAAAAGTTGCCTGTAGCGTTCTAACACTGTTATGATGATATTTAACATAAAAAATAAAAAGAGTATGAACTTTAATAAGAACCATTGATAGATTCCGTGTTAGAACAATGTGGATTTTTTCAACTCGCTTTTTCCTGCTTTGACTCCAATAAATAATCGATTCAGGGTGTACCGGAGAAAGTGAGGAAAATTTTTTTGGGTGATAGTACACCCTATTTGCAACAACTTCCAACGTATTGTCCGTATATGTATATATTCAGTACCTGACGGGATACGATTTGGTGTTAGTTTTTCTGTAGAAATTTGAACAATACCAGTTTGTTTTTAATTAATAATGTAAAATTTGGTATGCCCTTATGTTTAATTCTGGAGATTGTCAAACTTCACAAAAATTTCATTATTTAATAAGCTTTCACACACTAAGAATATCCAGAAGAATATACTAGTTGCGTATCAATTTTGAGTTATATGGTTATAAATTAGAAAAGTAATCCATTACACTCTTAACACACCACTATTCACTTAGCTCACTAGGAATTAAATCGCGAGATCATGGCGCGTTTTTTGAGAATTTTTTTAAGGAAATTTAAAAAAATTCAATTTTTCTAATTGAACAGCCCGGTAGGATTAAAAGTAACTTACCTCATCTGCAGTACATGCCAAAACCGTTTGGGATTGTTTGAGTACCAGGACACACAAGGTAGCCGATGCAATTAGAACATTTATCGTCCCTAAACCTCGAACCCTACTGGTATAACAATTTGCAAAAACGTAGGTTCATACGGCAAAGGATTAAACTTAAGTCCTTTATGTGACGGGAATATAGCCCAGAAAGAGGGGCATGCAAAAGTTCATGAAAGGATCATCGAGAATCTAATGGCAGAACGACTAATCCTAGGGCGTAGAAGGATAGTAGGACTGCTGATTGGGAAAAGCAGATTCGGGGGCATATGTGCAAACTCGGAGCAATAGAAACAAGCCTGTGCAGATATTGCTAGGAAGGAGAAGAAATAACGGAACACATCCTCTGTGGTGCTAAGGCCTACGCTAGCTCATTTTCCTACACCTGGGAAAGAAAAAGCAATGATACACACGGGAGTCCTTAACAAAGCTTTGGGATCTGGGAAAAACCCTCGAGCTTACCCCACAAAAGCAAGCCTGGAACGTACTAAAAAGCTGGTGCAGGGCGATAAGAGTCGGGGGTCAATTCGTATTCAGTACTGGTGGTTTTGTATAAAGGTCCAGGGTGTTATAAAGGCGCCTGAGCAGACATCTTGCGGTTTCGAGGACTAATGGGATTTGGATGACTGTGTGGATAGTAAAGTTGGAGGCGAAGTAAGAAGCTTGGGCAATAGTTCGGATTTTGGACTGGAGTCAATGGATTCTTGAGAGGTTGGAACGGAAGAAGAATCAGGGATGTAGTTTATCGAGAAGAATCAGCAGAACTATCTATAGGAGCGAAAGCCTATGCTGGCCGAGAATCGTACTCCAGGGAGATGAAAAACGAAGGCAGATAGGGTAATCACGGGAGACCTTAATAAAACTTTAGGATTATATAAAAGTTTTAAGCTTAATGAAGAACTCAAGAAAACAATGCAGATTGTACGAGATCGATGTTGGTTACGCGAGGTCGTTTTTACTTTTACAATTTACTTGTAAATTTCTATTCTGAGGATGGATTGAATGTGATGCCTAAAACTTAACTCTATCCTTTCATTGACTGTTTTTGTAAACAATTAGTTAAGAAAGAAAGAGAGAGAGAGAGAGAGAGAGAGAGAGAGAGAGAGAGAGAGAGAGAGATACAGAGAGAGGAGAGAGGAGAGAGAGCGAGAACGAGAACGTGAAAAAAACGAGGGATGGAGTGAAAGGGAGGAAGGGTGGGAAAGAGAAAAATATGGTTATTTATTGATATAGATAGAAGCAAAGAAACAGATAGAAAGAGAAAGAGCATGAGAAAGAGAGAGAGAAAGAAAGAGAGAAAGAAAGAGAAAGTGAGTCTGCCGGAGGTCGTTGTTAAGAGAAAAAGAATAAAAGAAAAAAATAACAGTGAAGAAATAATAATAACGATATAAAAATTAAAGCGAGGCTATAACATTATTCGCTACATGTTAGCATACCAGCAAAAAAGGTTAAACATAATAGTAAAACTACTTATAATAGAAAACAAACAGAGGGGAAAAGTTTTAATGCTAAAGGGACAAAATATAGGATATAATAAAGTCAAATAATATATAAAGGAAATTGAATGAATGAATTGGAGGGGTCAGAAATTGGATTAGGTCTAATCCATATTTCCATTTTTTCCAACAAAAAAACAAGAAGCAGCATTGGAAGAAAAAAATATAACTGTAGATTTCTAGCAACAGGTCTACTAAGACTAACATCTGAATTCAACGATAAGAAAGGCTACGTTGTTTGTGTAGAAATGAAGTCATTGACCACGCAAGGCCGTTTATGTTGGTGACGAGGCAAAATTTGTTGCACTTGGGAAGCAGATTTGAAGGGACCTTTTGATACCCATGTTTTCTTGTAATAGAAAAATATCTAGGAAAAAACAAATTTTGCTTTATTGGCATGATAATCTTGTGTCTGAACGCAGAATCATCACTGAAAAAACAGAACATTTCATTGGATAATGGATGTAATATTTTGTGTTGTAAAGCAATATAAATATTTTTATTTGTTAAAAGAAACGATTTTATTTTACAAAACTGCAAACGTTCAGTTAAAAAGACAAAATTCAATCAGTCTTTCGGTCCGACTGAATCTTTTGCTTTTTTTCTCTTGTCGAACCTCAGACCGAAGTTTTCCATTTGCTTGAAATTTGCCGGTTTCCTGTAAGGCTTTCCTCTCGGTTTGAAAGGCTTGTCGGCCCCCTGCTGCTGTTCGAACTGATACCTAAAGCAAAAAACGGTGAAATTAAGAGAAAATCAAGCTAATTTCAAATTCATATTGGCCTAGAAACGAAAGGGTCCATTGATGGACAAAAGCATCACTCAATTTAATTAGTTGAAAATTAAATTCGTTGTTTCTACATTAGTTACATATATTTAGGATTTAAAAATTAAAAACAGCTAAAATAAACAGTAAATAATGCGTTTACTTCCTTTATTTTCTTTAGCACTGATTAATCCTTTTGAAAATTTTTTGTATAATCCCCTTCGAATNAGAAAATATGGTTATTTATTGATATAGATAGAAGCAAAGAAACAGATACAAAGAGAAAGAGAATGAGAAAGAGAGAAAGAAAGAAAAAGTGAGTCTGCCGGAGGTCGTTGTTAAGAGAAAAAGAATAAAAGAAAAAAATAACAGTGAAGAAATAATAATAAAGATATAAGAGTTAAAGCGAGGTTATAACATTATTCGCTACATGCTAGCACACCAGCAAAAAAGGTTAAACATAATAGTAAAACTACTTATAATAGAAAACAAACAGAGGGAAAAAGTCTTAATGGTAAAGGGACAAAAATCGGTTATAGTAAAGTCAAATGATATATAAAGGAAATTGAGTGAATGAATTGGAGGGGTCAGTAATTGAATTCCATAATTAGGTTTAATCCATATTTCCATTTTTTCCAACAAAAAAACAAGAAGCAGCATTGGAAGAAAAAAATATAACTGTAGATTTCTAGCAACAGGTCTACTAAGACTAACATCTGAATTCAACGATAAGAAAGGCTACGTTGTTTGTGTAGAAATGAAGTCAATGACCACGCAAGGCCGTTTATGTTGGTGACGAGGCAAAATTTGTTGCACTTGGGAAGCAGATTTGAAGGGACCTTTTGATACCCATGTTTTCTTGTAATAGAAAAATATCTAGGAAAAAACAAATTTTGCTTTATTGGCATGATAATCTTGTGTCTGAACGCAGAATCATCACTGAAAAAACAGAACATTTCATTGGATAATGGATGTAATATTTTGTGTTGTAAAGCAATATAAATATTTTTATTTGTTAAAAGAAACGATTTTATTTTACAAAACTGCAAACGTTCAGTTAAAAAGACAAAATTCAATCAGTCTTTCGGTCCGACTGAATCTTTTGCTTTTTTTCTCTTGTCGAACCTCAGACCGAAGTTTTCCATTTGCTTGAAATTTGCCGGTTTCCTGTAAGGCTTTCCTCTCGGTTTGAAAGGCTTGTCGGCCCCCTGCTGCTGTTCGAACTGATACCTAAAGCAAAAAACGGTGAAATTAAGAGAAAATCAAGCTAATTTCAAATTCATATTGGCCTAGAAGCGAAAGGGTCCACTGATGGACAAAAGCATCACTCAATTTAATTAGTTGAAAATTAAATTCGTTGTTTCTACATTAGTTACATATATTTAGGATTTATCGTAGCTAAAATAAACAGTAAATAATGCGTTTACTTCCTTTATTTTCTTTAGCACTGATTAATCCTTTTGAAAATTTTTTGTATAATCCCCTTCGAATATGCTACGTCTAAAGATCGTTTTCAGTTAATCTTTCCCCTTCGATTTCATTTGATATTATTCTTACTCTTAAACCTTTTTCAATGGCTTCAGTCAGGCATTTGAGTCAAAATGAATAAGCCAGGACGAATTCGCCAGGGGACTGAATGTAATTCACTCTATTCTATAAATAGGAAGGGTTCTTCGGCGCCGTAGAGAAACAGGAACAGATAGACGACAGATTCATCTGTCATCAGACACTACAAAACCGCAGCATTACGGGAAATAAGATAACAAATCTGACAAAACAAGTCCGAAATGTTTCGATTTCCTCCAGGACTGTAAGACGAAGGTTCAACGAGAATAATCCTTAGGGCCGGCACCCAGTTGGAGGGTCTCTTCTTACCATAGCTCAAAAAGTAGCCAGGCTTCAATCCGCATGGGAATTGGAAGTAGGAAGATTAGGAACGAGTTCTCTTTACATATGAAGTGAGAGTTGGCCTCAAATCTTCAGATGTAATTAAATTTAGGTGAAAGGTACGCCCGGTGTTGTATGGTTCCTTAGGTGGCATTCCACGATGGGTCATTGTCAGCATCCCTGGAATTGGATGTTGTGCGAGGAAGATCTCTTTAGAAAGGTACTTGCAAGACGTAACTGAAGAAAATGTAGTTCCATTTACATCCTACATCGGTGAGAGAGATCTTGCTAATGCAGGATAATGCTAGGCCCTACAGACACGTCTGGTACTATCTGAATCAAGTTGGGATTGAGTGGTTGGTTGCCCAGCTCGAAGTTCAGATTTGAACCCAATTGAACACATTTGGGACCAATTTAATCGACGAGTACGATGTCGAAACCCTGGAAGAGTTGGAAACTGCTTGATGCTCAGGGTTTTAGGAATGAAAAGGCTTTTAACAGATGTGATTCGTACCAGAGGTGGAACTACTCGGTATTAAAGGGAACACAATTTAAAAAAATAATTTTTTATTTATTTTTGAATATTCTATTGTGTTTTGTTCTTTATTCAGTAATTATTTTTTTAGAATTTTTAGAATTAGGTAATAAACATTTTCTTTTTAAATGTCAGGTTTAGAACCAAATATATTTTTGGTATGCAAAATATGATAAACTTAAAAACACTAAAATTCAAGGGTGGTGGATTTATTTTATCCTTCGGTGTTCACTTTCAATTGAAAATGTTTTTTAAAAATTTTAACTTTTTACTAACATTTTTTAGTTTTTGACCTTTTAGTTGCAAGGGAAGGCTATGGACGTGGGATCTCCAAATTCTTCGATTTTGTAGTGATATTTACATGTTCGATTTTTTTAAATTTCAATATTTAATTACAATATGCAATTTCTGATTACAAGAATTTATTGGTTTAATTGGCATTGCAATTAATTAGGGTACTTTTATTTTTATTATCAAGAGGTCTTTATGTAACAGTGTTCTAATTTAGTTTAAAGTAAGCTTTAAATAACGTGAAATTTTAGATGTAATTTAAGGACGGAGCTTAGACTGTCAGTTATTATTAAATATTTGTCATTTGTTTTAATGGTACTTCATAACTGAGGGCAATAGAAATTGCATGTAACCCTGCTGAATGGACGCCACATTCTTCGGGTTTTATTAGGCATTCACAATTGTTAATGGAGTCAAACACGGCACAACCGATCCTTGTATTCATTTTTGATCGGTCCGTAAAAACATAATGGCACCCCGACCATCTCTCACTCAGTCATTTCTAAAGGACACGCTTGATATTCTCATGTCTACATTCTTTAAGTCAGGAAACCTAAATATTTCCACTTCTGCGAATAATATATTTCGTTTGGAAATATGTGGTGTTTAGTGACCGTTAGTGAATGATTATTTAGTTTTAGAAAAACATTTTCTTTATCGTGCCAACGTTTCGATCTTTATTGAGATCATCTTCAGGGCTCAAAGAGTTTGGTTTCCGTGTAGATATATCATTCCTGTCTGTTGTGAGGCACTCTCAACACGACACAGAAGAATGACACATCTACATGGAAAACAAACACTTTGTGCCCTGAAAATGATCTCAATAAAAATTCTAAACGTTGGCAAGATAAAGAAAACCGCATTTCACGATCTCCGAATAATCATTAACTTATAAGATAAAGAGGACATCGTTCCTGCAATAGATGCACGGCTTCAAACCGTTGGTGAAGGATCGGGTACTGTTCCACAAGACGAAACCTCAAGCACTCAACAAGGCCAGAGGACGTAAACCACGTTAATAAGAGCAAAACCATGTAATAAATTGTTAGTGGTGATTTGCCGGTGTTTTGGTGAATTTTCTTTCAAAACATCAGAATTAAATGTATGTTGAGAATAATAAAACAACAAAAATAAATATAGTATGCAATAATCAACACAATACGAGTGTCTGGTTTTGTTTTGTTTTTTTAGTGTATTATAGCATAAATATGGCACATTTTTCGTTTAAAACCTGAACAAGAATAATTATTCATAATGGAAAACAATGAGGAAAGGACTACAATGGAATTTAATTTCAACACTGAACAAAATAAGGGATTTAATTTTAAATATTTAAACAATTACAGGGCTTTTAACAGATGTGGGATATTAACGGAATAAGGCACCCTGGAAATTCCTCCGCCCTTCGAATACCTAGAAACAATTCAATTTCATAAGAATATTTGCTGAAAAGCTGCACCAAAGAGCAGAGATCTGCATTCTTACAACGTTCGCCCTACATAAAGATAAACAAGGGGTGAAATTTGTATTTGCACCCTGGAAAACAATACGTTTGAAAAACTGAGCGCGATGGTTTATCGGAATTATAGAAAAAGACGAACGCATAAAAGGGATTTTTTCTTGTTTAATATGGGAGATATAAAGACATACCCGGGTGCTCCTTCGTTTATAGCCTCATGTGACAGAAGAATGTGGATCATCGGGACGTCTCTGTTGACGACGAGACGGTCGAGGCCCGATATTTTAGGCTCCCAGTATTCCTCGCATCTAAACAAATACAGAAATTAAGTCACTACGCAAAATATCTGATGAAACTGTAAAGAAATTAAAAATAATTTTGCCCAGTTTTATGCTAATTCTTTTATCTGAAGAAATTGCACACTAGTGCTAAAATAGCATTTAACCGCTTAAACCAACTATATTAATATAATAAACTAAACAAATATGTAAAAGACTAAGAACAGGCTCAGGTCATGCCCTGAGCATTTTTATGTAAAACTGAAACAGGGTAATAAACATCGCTGTTCAAATTTTAAACATTTGAAAATTATTATACTCTACCTTCTATAGCAGATGTGGTTGAATTGGTGTACTCCTTTGAACTTCCTTTTTACTATTTCAGCGCAAGTGACTGCCTTCCCGACGGCTGGGCCGGACGCCGTCCATAAAACGTCTCTCGACTCGTTTTCATACGCTTTTAAAGCTACGTCTAATAGATTCCTTATCTTGCTGCCTCCTCTGACCTGAAACAATCATTGTGTCCGTTTAGTCTCGCATATTTCGTCTTGGTCGTTTAAGATAAAATGAACATAACGGTACTTCTCGTCTTACTTTGAAACTGACCAATGACTAACGACAGGAAAAAACAATTAAAATTTTTCTTCATTTAGGCTACGCACAGGTCCGACGATATGCCAAAATAAGGTCTAGAAGGTTTTACGTATATAGACAATATTTTGGCATACGTAGCCTTGGGGCACAACAGCGAGCACAGATCTTCTGGTAACTCAGAGGCTGTAGGGATTCTTAAATGTACAAAGTGTATGTGTGTTTGTGTTGTGTTGGTTTATTTATTGATGGATGTAATTTATTAGCGCGAAAGGAAGGGGCTGTGTAACCCCGCCCCCGGGGAACTGATTATTGTGTGACGTTTAGAGAGTAAAGGAAATTATTAGCGAGAATATAGTTTACAACCTCGTCTGAGGAATATCAATTATTCTGGGGGAGTGAATGTGACCAGATTTTCATTTTATATCGGATAGTGATGTATTGTATATGTGTCCATTTCCTACATGTTTTGTGTCCATTCTGTATTTGCAACCTGAGGTCCAAACAAGAGACGAGCGTTTTAGGATATCGACTTAGTACATATAAAAGCAAAGCCAGTAACTACATTGAGAAAAAAGTTTAAGATAAAATACGCAGTAAAGACCTGAAAAAGGAGGAAAATACGCAGAGGGCTGGGGATGACCTCAGCTGTTTGTCGCTTTACAAACCTCCCCCACTTTATACATATAATTAATAGTTTTTATTAAGTATTATTCAATTCACTAGTTTTCGTGGTCCGCTTGACCAATTAATATCTTTCAATTAATTGAGGTTTTTAGTTGAGATAAAAAAGTCAATGTCATGAGCCGGATTCGAACTCTCAACCTTCGGCTAGATACGCCGCTGCTCTACCACTTGAGCTATCGTGACCTCGATTCACTCGGACAGTCTTCCCATCTCAACAACCTGGCTCATTTATTGGCGACGATCAAATCTATAACGTAATTGTTACCGCTCACGCTTTTGTAATAATCTTTTTTATAGTAATACCAATTATAATTGGAGGATTCGGAAACTGACCACCTTTTGAATTTTCCCTCCTTTTTGCGATTTTTCAAATGTCGTGTAATCTATTTGATTCTCGGCGACAATTGAAATGGCCACGGAGACCTTTAGTGAAGATATACTTCATTTGAACTTATTCAATTCACTAGTTTTCGTGGTCCGCTTGACCAATTAATATCTTTCAATTAATTAAGGTTTTTAGTGGAGATAAAAAGTTAGTGAAAGTTAGGGAAGTTAGTGTCCCAGTGGATCGAAGTCACGACAGCTCAGGTGGTAGAGTAGTGGCGTACCTAGCCGAAGGTCGTGGGTTCGAATCCCGCTCGTAACATTGACTTTTTCTCAACTAAAAACTTTAATTAATTGAAAGATATTAATTATTATATTACTACTCTTCTTGATTGGTTCAATGATAGATTCGGTTTTTACTTTTACTTCGGATTTTACTTTTTACTTTACTACAGAAAAAAGTACTGTGGGTTCTAGTCCCGTGATTTGAATATGACCTCAGCCACGTAGGGGGCGTCGAAGGCTGCACCGGTAAAGGCGTTGACACCGTGCTCGTCACTGTAAGGTCTCGGGTTCGAATCCACCGGTCTTGCATTCGAACCTGATATACCTACAAATCGGCTTGTTTTTTCAGAAACACCGACACGTCGAGGGTTGATATGACCTCTGCTCTTGCTAATTCTCGTAAAAAATCAATAAAATGCAACCTACCTAATGTACAGAGGATTAAAAACATAAATCGTAGGTACTAATGAACAAAAATATTGAGACTTTTATTCATAAAATGTAAGGACATTTAATGTATATTTGTTGTTTTATAAATTGAAGTTTATTAAATATTCAATAACTTCCAAATAGTCGGAAAGACCAAGGAAAACGGCCTTATTGACGTTTACCTGGCTGTTTTGTAAAGGGACTTTTTACTGACAATGAGTCGAAAGCGGAAAACAATCTCTTAACTTTAAAATTAAAATTCCGCCGAGTCAAGAAAAACGGATAGGCCGCAATAAATTAAATACGCGCAAAGGCAGGGTGGAAGTTTCCTACTCAGACAATTAAACCAAGTTGCACGACCTGAAGGGCGTTCTCTCAGGCTGAAGCTATGCCTGAAGTCGGCCCATTAGCTAATGAGAGCTGTTCTCCCTCATGAGCTAGTCATTAGAAGGACAACGTTAACACCCAGGGGCACCTTGGAATTTCACCGTTTAGTCAAAAGGGGCTAGACAAAGAGCAAATTGGGATGATTTAGTGAAACACTCTCCACCCTATAAAAATGGTAAAACTGACGTGTATATTCGCCCAATCAAATAAATCAAATATATATTCAACATGAAAAAAAAACACATAAAAAGAGACAGTAAACGAAGTGAACAAAAGAAGGAAAGAAATTACGTTAAATTTTTTTGTGTGCTTTTTAATTAATTAAAGTTGTGTTTTCAACTTCTTTATTGTAGTTCTTTTTTTCTGTGCTTCATGTAGATATTTTATCCAGTTTTTCAGCTTTCGCTGTTTGTTATGTTTATTGTCTCCTTTTTAAGTGATTTATTTCATATTTCTTTATTTTTTATTAGGTTAAAGTTGGGAAATAAATTTTGTCCAAGGTAAAGCAAGAAAACACCTGAGGAACTTTGCCGACTATGTCCTGTTGTGGTGTTTAGTTGCGCGTCGGTGTTACATTGTGCTAAATTGCTGCGATTCTGTAACCATTTAGGATCTATTAATAAACCGTGTACGCATTTAAACAACATTCAGCAGTCACTTTTGAATGCACAGTGAATGCATGGTTGGACGAAGTTCATGATGTACTATTAACTACCACGCAGACCTGTACGAAAATAGGTCCGGCCCATGGAGAATGGTCGGCTGTGTCCAGATGGAAAGGTACCATGTTTTGACCCTACGTTTTTGTAGTTCCGAATTCACCTTTAGGAACTATATAGAAAGCAGTAGGCAAGCTACCCAACATTTAAACGGTTTTTGAGCTCAATTGATTGTCTTGTTGAAAACCTTTTGTGAGAAAGCATTTATTAGCGAGAATAGATGTTTTAAGAGGGTCCTTGGCCCGTTTCGTTGGCCTATACGAAGACCTGTTAAGTTCTTTGTCTTTTGTATGATGGGAGAATGAATACTCCGTTGCCAACTGGAGTAGATGGTACATAGTAATAATTGCCAGATTTATCTGTGTGGTCCGCGGGGTGATTCACCCGTAATTTGGTCTTTACAAATCATTTGGATCTGCGTATTCTGGTTGATATGATTACAGGGTGATAAATATTTTGAAATCAGTGCGACGGAGTGAGTGTGACATAGGTCAAGGTTAGGATTACCTATCATCGCCAGTGGGTCTAAGAGGCAAACAGCTGGAACTAATTGCATAAAAAGTAGATATATTTGCTTTTCTGTTAATATAGTGTTTAATATTTACAATGGTAAGGACATGTGTTTACCGTTGTATGTGAGTTTGCCTAGAATAACAGTAAATAGGTTAATACAGGATTTTAATTAAATAATTTAAAAAAAATTAATAATGCCAATCAACAATCATGCAAAATACTTTAAAAAATTAATTTTACCTATTTGCTTATTGCTCCTTATCGTCATTATCCATTGCGAGTAACGCAGTGGGAGGTTTGCGTGCAAACAGTTCTATCTTTCAACTCAAAATTTAATTCCCGATACAGTGGTTATTTTTTATTTGATGTCACTTTCTGTTCTATTCTTCGATGCCATTGGACTGTAGGTAACTTTGAGTCTTACTAAAGAAGCCATTTTTTAATATTATTTAATTGCATGGGTAATGTAGTTATCACTGTGGCCTCCAAGGCTTTCCTTGAACGACGATAATTTCTTAACAATGATTTCCAAGCCACTATTTTTTTTTTTTTTTTTTTTTTTTTTTTTTTTTTTTTTTTTTTTTTTTTTGGGAGGGGTATTTATGTTCAATCCAACATAGGAAATTTGAAGGGTTCCTGAAGGGTAGTACATTTTGTTTATAAACGGTTTGAAGTACCTCTACCTCCCTATATTATTTTCCTCCCTATACATGTGCACCATAGATCATCAATAAGGCACTGTATCGGATTTGGTTTCAATGCCAATATGGTCCTGGCATCATGACCGTCCAAATCGGGCCCAATCATTGCTTAGTTTATTAACTTTAGTTATTAAATTACTAAATGATTGTGAGGCTATGTTCACTCCGAGATTTAACCACCTTATTATTATTTCTACCATGGACCACTTATCGATTCTGGCCGGTCTTCCTCCATTCCTAAATACCAAGATTTTGGATTTGCTTAAATTCACTTTTAGGTAACATGTTTCCATAATAATATAATCATTAATCTCGTTTTGATCCGCTGTAGAGAATTTGGTTGCGACACTAAGATCAAATGACAATGTAAGTGATTTGATCTTCTTTATTCCAACTTCTACCCCACTTCCATCTAGATCATTAAGAAAGAGCGAGAATAGCAAGGGACTCAGTAGACATCCCTGTTTCACTTTAGTTATTAAATGAGTTGTGAGGCTATGTTCACTCCAAGGTTTAACCACCTCAATATTACCTTCTCCCATCGACCACTTATCGCTTCTGGCCGGTCTTCCTCCATTCCTAAATGCCATGATTTTGGATTTGCTTAAATTCTCTTTTAGGTACCACGTTTTCGTATAATCATTAATCCTATTTTCCTTGCATTGGCCTTGCAACTTGGTATTTATCAGCTTAATGAGTACGCGACTTAGCAATGACATAATCAATATTGTTTTCCACTTTTTGGAAAAGCAAAAAAAATGTTGGAAAAATGCTTAGGCGTTTTTTATATTTTTAATTTTTTTTACGAGGGTTCGCATCAGCAGACGTCATATAAACCCTCAGGGTGACGGTGTGTTTGAAAAAAAAAAGCCAATTTGTATGTTTGTAAGTATGCCGAGTTCGAATGCAGGGCCGCTGGATTCGAACCCGGGACCTTTACCTTACAGTGATGAGCGCCGTGTCAACGCCTAAACCGTTGCGGCCACCGACGCCCCGGAAGCGTTGTTGTAATGTATTTACTAGCATGAATGCAACGTTTCCAAATAGCTCGCTGATCGCTACAACTGATTGGTTAGTCAAAATAAATCATCGCAGTATATAGACTTATAAAGTGATCTCGCTGACTATCCAGCAGAAAAATTGTGCCCATTAGGCCATTAAAGGCACTCCCTGCAATTTGAAAGAAACTATGTTAAGATGTACTCTTCTCCTATGTTACTTAATTTATTGTAATAATATAAGCATGTATAACCCTGACGATGGTGTGAATTAAGTATGATCATTGTTTTGTAAGAAATCATGGCCAAAGTTTTTTTGTTGGAAATTTAGAAGATTTGTGAAAAGAGGGGAGGTGCTCTCGTGCAATCTTGTTAGTTGAAAGCAACCCATTTGCTTTTCTTCTTGTAGACAGGGGAAAATGAGGAAGACAGCCTTCATGATGTAACAGTGTACTCCGTAAATCAAGGTTCCTTTAAATAAATTATAAACTTACTTTCGAAGTAGTACGATTTTATTTTATTCCTAACACAAAACAAGAGAGGATTTGGAATGCAGAGTATCAACAATGTTGCTGATTTAAATTTTATATTTTCATTGAAAGGGGAAAAAATATTTTACAAAATATGTAACAAATAAAATAATTAATTAGTCGAGATTAGAAATTCGTTAGTAAATCGGCGAGTGAGAAATCTTGCTCAAATGTTGGGAAAAAAAGAAAAAAAAATAATTTGGTGAAAGGATTTAAAGTTGTAGAAAGCATGCTAAAAAAGTGCTTGAATTAAGTATATATTTAGTATGTAATCTAATATATGGAAAAATTGTTTTTAAATTTTATGACCTGTTTTAAATCCGATCCTAGGTGGTTAACACAATAAAAGTGTGGTGCCAAAATTGCCTACCTGCATCCATAGGACGTTTTTCGGCAAGTTCGGTATGGGGATTTTCTCGATTTCCAGAGGTTCTTCCACGTTATCACCTTTGGTGTAGTTGTCCATCTGTAAAGAAAAAGGATTATTTAAAAAAAATCAACTATTCAAATCAGAGGTCTTAAATTTATTTAGTCCGAGGATCACCACCTTTGATTTTGGTGGACCACTACCATCAGGCGTCATTTTAGAAATAATTTTCAACCTCAATATTGTTAAAAACGTATAGCTGATTATTTAATTGGTTATATTATTTTGTGTTAGTATATAACAAAAATAAACAGTTGCTTACTATAAATAATTTTTAAACTTGATGACATGGAGGTAATAGTTTCATTGAAAACATAACCAGCAGGCTTGATGCTAGAAAATTTCATTCTGTGCTCCGTTTCTGCTTTCAGGTTATTTCTATTCTTCCATTTTCAATATTTCAAATACAACAATGCCGAAATGGCCTATTAACATAAATGTGTCGAGTAGAAAGAATTAAGCATTGGAGTGGAAAACACAACAACAACAATGATTCTTGGGTTCCAGCACACAAAGGTGTTTTGTGGTAGAGGAGGATCCTCAAGGCCATATATATGCCCTGAACAGATATAGAATCCTCTATCACAGAATGGGTCCAAAAAAAGACAAAAGGAGAAGAGGATAAACTCTAGAGGTGCTAAACCCAGTAAGCTTATGTTACTGCTTTATGCATAAAGCCTCACCTTGATTGGCAAACTCACTGCTACAGTTAGAGAGGACTAAACCCACAGGGGTGATAGGAAGCATTTGAGAAAACCTCTACATATTGGTGTATTCAATGATGACCCCATTTGAAGGTTATGCAATGAGAAGGAAAAAACAGCCACCCATATCGAATGCGAAGAAGGGATCAATGGAGACCAACCTAGGATACAAAGAAAACCCAGGTAAACGAATTGACCTAGTAGCCCTTAGGAGAAGGATAGAGTCGATTGCACTTTACTAGAATGTACAATAAGGAAGAAGGCTGTAGGGTTTGGGGAACAAAAACGCCCTACTTCCTAGTATCTATCATCATCATCATGAAGGGTGTCACTCCTTGTTTCTATTTAGAGAGCAGATAGGAATGCCACCAGGTTGACACAGTCGAGTATGGAAGCCAATCTTTGAGTACTCCTAATTTTCGGAGCAAAATGGGATATTCTGTATAGATCGATGGAATTTTTATTGCAGGCTATTTTATTAATTTTACTTAGAGCTTTTGTGGAATGTTTTGATCAGCAAGTAGAAGAAGAATCGAGTAGATTGCACTGAACTATAGAACTGGCAATGTACGATAAGCCAACGATAACTCCGTCTTCCTGGTATCCATATTCATCATCATCATCAATTACTGGACGTACTGCATAACTGTACAAGAATATCTTGTTCCAGCGTAGATAAGTGCATGACATTAGAGAATCCATGTTGAATGTATCTCTCAAAAGAGACTACGGATCCTCACAGGCAATGCCCCAAAACCTAGCAAAGATGGTAAACATATCGTTTCTGCCAAGAAAAATTAGAAACAACACATAGGAAGCTCTTGCATACAAAAGATTCTGTCATCCCAAATGTACTCAGTTTATGTTCACATTGAAACAACAGTCTTACCCTCACCGTTCATTAATGCAAAGAGATACTGACTTTCATTCGAGCCTAATAATTATGACTATACCTAGAGAACAGACTGACGTGGAATCCCCACACAAGACTTTAGAGACAACAACTCAATAGAAGATTTGGATAACTACGAAGACTTCTATGAGCGAAATCTTGACTATTAATACTAAACTAATGGTTATTGCGTCACTGTGATACGGTATACAAAACTTTACTCCGACCACTTTGGATATATAGAGTCGGACTGTAGAGTTCTGCCATGCCATCCAGCGTCCAGCGCATCCAATTCTTCTAATCATAAGACCTCCCACAAATCGTGGGACACTTGGTGTTAGTGCTATGTTCAATGACCTCAACATTCCTTTTGACAACGATTTGATCCGTTCCCGATTCCAAAAGTTTCACAACTACCTCTCGATCCATCCTAACCTTACTGCTCGAGCCCTCTCTTCTGTACACATTCCCATCCTGAGAACCCGCCACGTTGCCTTAAACGACGACGGCCTCGAGACCTCCTTACCTCTCAATCCCTCACACTGAGTGCGAGCATTGTCTGGGTTTTCATATGTACATCGGATGCAGCATTAGTGTTAGTGACCATGTGAAAAAAAAGGTACTGTAATCACATTTGTGATATGTTCAACTATGTATAGGCTAAAATAAAATACAAATTTAAAAAAAGTCATCTCAATAACACATTTCTAACATAAGAAGAGATAAAAAAGCTTAATCATCCTGGGGTTTATTACAGTTGTCAGTTTATGAGAGACCAAATCGATTAGGAAATTTTTCAAGCGTTTGCTATAAACCATAATGTACAAAGAGGATATGAAACTCAAGGCAGACGAGGTAAACAGTCATGCTAATAATATAGAATTAATGTGATGATGATGTGGGGATAGGTGCTCGGTTTGAAAAAAAAAAAAAAAAAAACTATTTCATTGAGCCGACGTTTCGGAAAATATATTTCCTCTCTCAAGGCTAGGATTCGCATTTATGATGAAATTAAATTTTTTATCAAATTAAATTTGTAACTCTCTAAATATGCAATATTACAATAGGTATTTTAATTTCTAAATTAATACAAACTAAAAATCTATCAGCCAGTGAAAATGAGATTTTTTATTAAAAACATATTAATATACATCACATGTATTAATATACATCGCTTTTGGATGATATCACATTTGTCATTTGTTATATAATATTACAATATACAACTAGTTGGTAACAATTTTACTAAATTTACATAGATATGTAATCATGGATGTTACGGAAGCATTTGACCGGGTATGGCACCCCGGCTTCCTCTATAAGTTAAAATGTATCCTCCCTCATTCCTACTATCTTATTGTGAAATCCTTCGATGGTTTAAACTTTTAAAGTAAGAATCTGTACCGATTTTTCACTTATCACACCAATCAAAGCTGGCGTTCCACAAGGAAGTATCCTAGGCCCAATCCTCTACACCATCTACACTGCTGACATACCCACACATCTGAACACACAAATCACAACCTACGCGGACGTCACCGCAATCTTATCCACACACTCCAATCCTATCCTAGCAACAGAAGCACTCCAAACAACACCTGAACTTTATTACCAACTGATGCAGTCTGTGGCGGATAAGTGACAGACGAACAAAAAAGCCAACAAGTTACGTTTACGCCCAAACGTCAAACCTGTCCAACAGAGCACATTTAAAACAAGATAATACCACCATGGAACCAAGTTCGCTACCTTGGGCTTTACTTAGTTAGTAGACTTATTTGGAACCGACATACAAGATTAAAACGGCAATAACTTAAAAAAAAAATATGTACTACTCAGACACCTACTTGAACCAAAATCAAAACTAAACATATGTAACAAACTAACCGCTTACAAAACACTCATCAGACCTTAGGAGTCGATCTGTGGGGCTCGGACAAATCATCCAATATCCAACGAATACAATCTTTCCAATCTAAAGTTCCGCCGTATCCTCAATGCTCCCTTCTGTCATCAATTAAACGATCCATAAAGATCTTAAAATCCCTTTCGTGAAAGATCTTATCCAAACACGCTTCTTCACTTTCCACTCTAAAGTATCCCTCCACCCTAACCCCTAGCCCTAACTCTTTCCTCAACATCTCACCCTTACAATCCTCCGCGCCGTTTAAAACGATGATGGCCTCATGACCTTCTATCTAACCCACCGAATTAACCCCCCCAATTAAATAAAAGAAAGTTTCATCACTGGTTGGATTCTCTCCCCATTGCCCCCTGGTCTGACAGGTCTGTCAGATTTGTTTATAACTAAACTATTTGCTCAATGTATATTATGTACAGAGCAATAAATAAAATAAATATTTTGCAAAGAAAAGATATGTAATCAACAAATATCTAACTGTGATCAATTATTAAAGAATAAAAACAAAATTATTATACAACAGCCATATACATATCACAGTTCATAAATCAATTTATTTGATCGCAGTGATAGGCTCACGTAACAGTCGTTTACCAATTCACTGTCTTTCTTAAAATTTATTGCTGAATTGTCACCTCTTACAGAAATAGTTTCTCTCTTTTTTTTGCACTTATTTTCTTTTTTTAGCCACAGTTTTGAAGACAAAATTATGTTTTAGTGAGATAAAATGTATCGATAGAGATTAATAAAGAATTAATTTGATTTTTATTAATATCAAAGTTGTTTCGCTTACTCGAACCCAAGTTTAAGAACCGCTGATCTAAATAAAACGGGATTACATATAATTTTCCCATGCGGGCAAAAGTGACTTTTGAGGAAATGTTACCCGCCAATTCACGGATCGATCCCAGCCGATAATCTGGACAGGATGAATACAGGAATAGTTGGGAAACTCATAAAGTGGTCCTTCCCGGGAGATTTGGAAAAGGAGTTCGAGTAAACACGTCGGCGGTGTAGGTGGCGTGGGGGCAATCATCCCTCTGGTACACCCTCGCCCCCGGGCCGTGAAAGGGCGAGAAACGGCTCCAACCCCTCCACCAATAATAGAGGAATGAAGGGACGTGTCGGAATCCGGGGTAAATATATTCGGAATGAGGTCAGGGCTCCGTGGTATACCCTTTATTTTTCATATTCAGGGCATTGTCTCTTCCCTCTACGGACTACTGCTTTCAGTACTGGGGCGAAATGTTATGACACCTGAGCATACCGAAAATATCTCGGATACTAGTGGCACCTTATATTTCGACCGAAAGCTACCGTCTCTGTTAATATATTTCTTTTATACTAATCTTAATAAAGAAAGTTTAGCAGACTAATGGCTTCATTCTCAACTGGAATGCTGACGTAAACCGCACTCAAAGAAAGCCACAAAGACCTTTTGATCCTATAAAAAAATAATCATGCAACAGGTTTTATGCCACGACATACGATCATATATTATATATATTCACGAAATATCCCT